CATACACAAATTTACACAATGGGCTATCTGTGCTGTGCCAACCATTGGAATCAAAACTTGCTTTTTAGCAATATATAATTTTAGACTTACCACTGAGCCTCTGGGGGTCAGTTAGTAGTCTTATCCAGCTGGTTTGAAGTGTCATATCAAAATGAAGTACCAACACAAAGTTCAGGAACAGGGTACAGAGGAATGAAGAGAACTTAGCCTAAATTGTGGAAGATTTAGAAATTATAGCCCAATTATCTTACCCAAACATTTCACATGAAATAATGGATTAACTGGCATGACTAATTTATATTTGACATAACATATAAGGATATGAGAATTAGGCTAAAGTAGATGTTGATCCTTATAGGAAGCTCAGTACTTGGCAATGGAACTACAGTCCATTAAAGTTGCAGATAAACAGCTACAAACACCATCTCAAAGTTATAGGGTTGTCAGATCAAGTATTAATGAAACATCATCTCCCACTGATGACAGTTTAGAATAACTAAAACAATTAGTTAGACAACTAGTTGTTCAGAATGAGAGAAATAAATAACAAGACAATAGGTGTTTTAAGTATAACCAAGAATTTCACGAAAAAGCTCATAGAGAATTAGAACTCCTCCCAAGGGATATAAGAAAGAAGAAATTGTTATGGATGCAGAAAACTTGACCATTACATCAAAGACTGCAAGGAATCAACAGTTGTTAAAATGCTACATAGGCAATACCCTAAGGATGAGTCTTTGGGCCCAACCAGATTGAAGGGCTAACCAAGCATCAGGAGGAATTAGCTGGAGCTATGAGGCAAAGTTCATCTGAGAATCCCTCTATCTGTCCCAAGTGAAATAAGAAGTTCATTGTTTAAAGAAACTTGTCACTGAACATATTAATGGAAAACCTTACAGTAGTTTGATCGATATGGGTTCTACAATAGTTTGACCCAACTTGGTAATTAAAGGTGGGAAACTGCCACTAGATATGAAGAAAGAAGAGGGAGTAAGCTTCCAGCAAAAGGATAGTTAGAAGCCACTCTTACTGTAGCAGACTTCTCTACACTTCATGTGTGCATAATTGACATCAAGGAAGTGTGCATGTTGGGAACAGAAATCATGCAAAGAATTTGATGCAAAGTTAGATTAGCTTCAAATAGCTTTGCAGTGTATGACCAGGAAATTCCTGTGTAAATTTATTTCAAGTGACTGGGCTGAACTAGAACCAAACATTCCAATATATCTTAATGGATTGATGGTTGGTGGAACTCTCACGGATCTAAAGAATAAAAATTAATAATGGTTGGAGACGGCTTGAATGGGTAATGAAGAAAAACTTTAATATAAGTTTAACATAACAGCAAATGTACAACATTTCGACAAGGTTTTGTCATTATCAAAGTAAAGAATAAAGATGTCATCATTAGAACTGTGAATGCAACAAACCATAAAATTCAAGTCAGATCTGGATGGGACATTGCAAGATGCGAGTCTGTAAAGGTATTACTTCTACATCAAAAAACATCAGAAGTAGTTACCTTTGAGGAAAGATGTAGAAAGTCTGACATCAAACCCTTACGTAAGGACAGCTTACTACCTCACTTACAAGAGTGACTGGGGCTGTGGAGGTCTTACAACTGATCAGCTCCAGCTGTTACATAATTTACTCATGGAATATACAGTGGACCTCATGGCCTAGGTCAAACAAGTAAAATATTTCATAAGATTGATAATGAAGTTGCAGCCCCAATACTTCAGTTAGCTAGAGGATTGCCACTTACAAAATGGGTTCAGGCTTTCAAAGAGATAGAAGCAATTGAGGAACATGGAGTGATAAAACTGAGTAATACTCTTGTGAATAAGGATGGATTCACAAGGTTCTGAATGTATTACAAGAAGGTGAATGAAGTTACAATGAAAGATGCAAGCCCACTGCCAAAGACTGACTCAATCTGGGATGTTCTATTAGGAATGAAATGGTTTCAACATTGTATCTTAAAAATGGATATTGGCAAGCAGAAAGAAGACAGCCTTTATTGCAAGAAATGAATTGTGAAAATTTGTCCAATTACCATTTAGATTATGTAATGTTCCTGCTATATTACAGTGATTAATGGAGTATCCTCTGTCTGTATTATCCTGCTAACTTGGAATGCAGTACTCATCTACTTGGATGACATAATCACACATGGAAAGAATTTTATTAGTGCTTATGAAGGGCTAAGTAATGTTTAGTATCAGTTGAGGAAAGTGAACCTTAAGCAGAATCCCAAGGAGTGTGAATTATTCCATCAATAGGCAAGTTCCCTGGAGCACATAGTTAGCAGAAAAGGAGTGTCTACATATCCATCGAAAATTGACTATGTCCAGAATTGGCCAACACCAAAGAACCTTCATGAAGCAAGGAGAATTCTTGAACTGTGTTCTTACTATTGTTGTTTTGTAGAATCTCTGACATTAGCTCACCCTCTACAAAAACTGCTTACTAGCCAAATAAGTTTTGTTGGACAGACTGCTTATTGTGGACAAGCATTCAACAACCTGAAGAAGGCATTGACCACTACTCCTGTACAGTGATATCGAACTCAGAAGCTCACTCAATTTAGATATAGATGCCAGTGATTTTGCAGTGGGAGTAGTTTTGTCACAAATACAACACAGAAAGAAACATGTGTTTGCCTACTAAAGTAAGGCAATTAATGCCACAGAAAGGAGGTATTGTAAAACTCAAAAGGAGCTACTAAGTGTTGTTCAAGCCCTAAGTGACTTCCATTATTATCTTTATGCTCCAAACAGATTATGTAGCTTTAAAGTGGCTGGTGAATTTCTGTAATGAAGAAAGCCAAATAGCAAGATGGCTCCAAAAACTCCAGAAGAACAATTTTAATATCATACATCACCCTGGAAAGAATCATGAAAATACTGACATTATCTGGAATATCACGTGTGAAAGATGAGTGTAAACAATGTGGGAAAAGCAAAATGTAAGATTGAAATGACAATCAGTCTAAAGTACAGGCAAAGTGTAATCCAAGATGTAGCATCCATATGACGAGGAACAGATGTAGTCCAACACCCAACTAGAAGTCACTCAGGCAAAGGATATAAGTTTGAAACAAATTATTCAGTGTCTCAAGAATAGTGCAGAAAGACCCTCATAGCAAATTATTGCACCATACAACCAAAAAAAAGATGCCTAGGAAACAGTGGTATTCCTTATGTTTACGAGAGGGTTTATTATGTTAGAAATGGGATGACACTAGCCATCTTCACAACATTCCAACAGTTAAACACATGTGTGTTAAGAAGACACTGAAATGAGTAAGAGAATGCTTCTAAGTTGAGTGCTGAGGATCTGTGGAAAAATTGGTGTAAAACGTATGAATTCTTCTGTGAGCAGAAAGGTCCACGAACCAGAAAAGAAGCAGCTACAGCAGTACTATGTACAAACACCACTGGAGAGAGTTGCTGTTGATGTGCTTGACTCTTTTTCACAGAGTAATAGTGGGATTGGAAACAGCATGGTTGTGATGAATGACTTCACCAAAAGACCAGAAGAAGGTACTGTCCCTAAACTTTTGTGAGAAGACTTATCAACAAATCTGTCTCAAGACTTGGCATTCCTATGGAGCTCCAATCAGATCAAGGTTGAAATTTTGAATTAGACTTGTTTGCAGAAATGTGTCAAATCCTTGTGCTTAAAAAAACCAGAAGAACAGTCCTTTATCCATCTTCTGATGGCATGATGTAAAGATAGAATTACACATATTCAAATCAAATAGTCATGTACATATGTGTATGTGTATATATATATATATATATATATATATATATATATATACACACTATAGTAGTAGTAGTAGTAGTATTAGAAGTAGAGAGGTAGGTACGGTACGTAGTTACGTTAGTTTAGTTAGTACGTTACGTT